TGAATCCCTGCTTGCTAGCTGTGTGGCCTTTGGCCAGTCCCTTGCCTGGCTTTGACCTCAGTGTCCTCCTGCACACAGGCTGGAGGAGGTAGACATTGTCCTGCAGGCTTGTGGGAGGATTAGCGATAATTGTCTTGGCCCCAAATGGGGCCTCAATCCCGGGCCCATGTTATCAGTGTGATCCAGGCCTGCTGCTTCTGACAGTTCAGCTATCACCACAGCCCTCAGCTGACCTCATTGCTTCCTGTCTCTACTTCCTTCAATCATCCTACGTGTTAGTAGTCCCAGTGGGATCTTTCTAGAAAACAAATCTGATCACATCATTTCCTTTGCCATTCATTGACTTCTCATTACCAACTGCTTACTTAGAAACCTAAACCATCTGGCCCCAACCCGCTGTCCAATTGCACAGATGCACACCCACGTACACATGTGCACACACATCCCCTTCCTGTGAACCTAATGCCCCGGGTCACACTGTGACGTGTACACTGTACACACTAGCCTTTCTCAATCTCTGCTTCAAAGGCCCTGCTCCTGCAAACATATGTGTAACCAGGTCCACCAGGAAAACTTCACTGCTCCTACTTCTTCCTACTGTCCCCCCAAAATACAACCCCCCTCAGCTCTTCCACACGTTTCACTGGTACTTCACACAGAGCACTCATGAGCTGACCCCAGTTACAGTTATTAATGGACAGTCTGTGAGTTGGAGCCCCACACACCTGTCCATCCATCTCCAGTCACTGCCCTTACCCCGGGGACCTTACTCCTAATTGGCCTGTGTTTATTAACTACTACTACCCCACTAGCCCAGAAGCAGGAGTGGCATCCACTTCCTGAACAACAGGCCTCTGGAAACTCTATGAACTTTGATAAATGATGGTAGTTATAGAAAGGCTTCAGGCCTTTTGTTCATAAGGTCACTATGAATCGTGCTCGACTCGACGGCAATCAACAACAACAGTCCCACTAGCCCAGGCTCTCTGAGGACAGGGTCATGTCTACCTCAGTGCTTAGAACAGGAACCTGGCAAAAGGCTGACCCTCCCTGGGGTTTGGCAGATGACTGAACAGTTTATTCCCTTCTGTGAGCACCTTCGGAGCACAGCCATGCCAACTCCATCTTTGTACCCTGCCAACACCTAAAACCACTCATGGGCAGAAATAGGTGCTCAGTTCATATAACTCTTGAATTGTTAAATAGTGTTTCTCCGGTTCACTTAGAATTCCTTCAGTAAGTAAAATTCCTCCTTCATTTCAAGTTCTGCCATTGCAGCAGAAGCAGAAGGGAGGGCAGTGGAGAGGGGCTGGTTGGCTTGAGCCTCTTGTGAGGATGGTGGCTGATGCCCCTGCCTGTGGTTCCCTGTGCGCAGACTGGACATCTGTCCCTCCCCTCCAGAAATGGACAGTATGCCCTAAGATCCTCACAATTCTTTTCAAAGCCGGCTTCTGACTGACCCACAGTTCACCTCTAAGATACGTTTGTTTTGTATCAGCCTACAGTAGTAGGTAGTTTAGTTTGCTTGGCTCCACAGTCAACACTCTTGACACCAGTAGCCAGGAAATTAAAAGACGTATTGCGATGGGAAAGTCTGCTGGTAGGGACCTCTCCAAAGTGCTGAAGAGCAATGGTGTCAGTCTGGAGACTAAAGTGTGCCTGATAAAGGCCATGGTCTTTGTAATCACTTGTTATGCATCAGAGAGTTGGACAATGACTAGGGGTGATAGAAGGAGAATTGATGCCTTTGAGCTGTGGTGCTGGAGAAGAGTATTGAATGTACCATGGACTGCCAAGAAAACAAACAGATCCATCCCGGAGAGAGTTAAACAAGGCTGCTCCTTGGAGGCAAGGATTCTGAGTCTTCATCTGACATACTTTGGACATGTTGCAAGGAGGGACCGGTCCTTGGAGAGGGACATCATGCTTGGGAGGGTGAAGGGATAGTGCAGGAGGGGAAGGCCCTCTATGAGGTGGATTGATTCAGTGACTGGGGTAATTAGGGTGGGGGTGTCAGAGACAGTGAGATTGGCACAGGATAGAACAGGTTTTAGGGCTGTTGTACATAGGGTTGATGAGTCACAGGCAACTCAACAGCACGTAACAACAACAACACAGTAGTAAAGATTGAACTGAAGTTTTCATTAAAAGGTTAAAAAAAAAAGTCTGACCAGCTCACCAGCCAGCCACCCACCTGCCCTCCAGACTGAACTTCCCTGGGCCTAGACATCAGCACTTTCTATATTCTCAGCACCTAAGTGCAAACAGCAGGTACTCACTCAGTGCTGGATTGCACGGAATGCTAACAGAGTTGGTGGACAGGGCAGCTAACACCTGCCAAAGAAACACTTGAAAACTCATGCCTGGGATTTTCCATGTGTATGTTATAGGTCGGCGTCCCTGTAACCACACCCGAGCATG